TAAATTCCTCCCGTTGCCAAGTCAAGCACTTTGTTGTGGAAAGCCTTTGTAGCAGCCACTCTTTGGACCATCTGGAAAGAGCGCAATCGCAGGATCTTTCAGGGTACCTCTTCCCACCCTTAGGCCTTGTCCTAGGTTATATTTTGGGCAACTAACCACAATAGGATCAAGAGCTTCCAGACATAAATTTTCCTACTCAATTGGCAATCCATACTTCTCTTCAAGCCACAATGCACTCCCCATGCCTCCCTTTGGCGGCCCTCTGAACCCAGTCCAATCAAATTGAATTTTGATGGATGTTCCCTCGGCAACCCTGGTTTGTTGGGCATCGGGTGCATCTTAAGGGATCATAGAGGCACACTCCACTTCTCATTCATCACATCCATAGGTTGAGTTGATTCCACCTCGGCGGAAGCTCTAGCCCTCCTGGAAGCCCGTAAACACTTCAATCCCTCCTGGAACCCTTCCCTCGTGGTGGAGGGCGACTCCAACAATGTTATCTGTTGGGCTTCGGGAGAGGCCAACCCCCCTTAGCATCTTGCACCTATTTTTGACGAGGTTTTTGACCTTTGCAGCCCTATACAAATCTCTTTGGCACATACCTGGCCCGAGGCAAACCACACTGCTGACACTCTCGCTAAAGAAGGTGCAGCTATGGCGGTCATTTAAAGAGCAGACTTGCGCCCCAAACCCTCCCGGTGCATTTTGACTTTGGTTTAGTTTGTTCGTAACATTTTTTGGACCCATCCACCTTCTAGGTGGGTTTTTGTATAGAGCTTCCAACATGTGAGTAGCCTATTTTTGTAACATGTAACATGCAAATATTCTCTATACTTATTACAAAGTCAACAGTTTCCAAAAAAAAGAAAAATTATTTGCTATTTAAAATTGGGTGTGGTTTGTATAGAGCTGAGGCTCTAAACAATCGAAGTAAATCACACCTTCAAATATGTCAAGAAATGTGGTTTCAGTACTGGAAATCTTTGTGATAGCCTTAAAAATATATTTTCATCTGTAATTATAAAATTTAAAGCTTTTAAAAATAGTGTAGATCGAGCAGATCTATGAAAACTCGAAAATACTGAAAATTGACGGTCCAAAAATGAGTTGCAAGATGCACTATTTTCAAAACTTGAAATCCGGTTTTTTTCTCATGTCCATGCATCTCGATGGCAAGAAGATCACCTTGAGGTTATTTGGGCATAACAACCTCTTCTAGTGAAATTTTTGAGGTGGGCTCTAATTTGATTGTTTAAATCCTCAGCTCTATATAAACTTTTTCTTTTAAAATTTAAATAATTAATTTACTAGTTAGGAATTATGTGTATGTGTTTCATATGTTAATACAAAGAAAAGAAACATGCTTGAATCAAAGAGGCTCAATGACTTACTTTATGTGGAGTTTAATCGAAGATTATGCAAAAGATTTGCAAAGCATGATAAAAAATATCGCCTTAAATCAAAGGACATGGAGAATGCTATGGAGTGCTTGGTTGATGAGGGCGATGAAGTCGAAGGGCAATGAGGGATTGGCGGGGGATATGGTTTTAGAAGTATCAGCTAGAGTAGTTGACCTTCCTAGGGCAACTAGATCATCTATATAGAGGAGGTCAAAAATGGAGGAAGATTCAGAAAAAGTGGAAGGTGAATGTCATATTGAAGGGGGAGATGATTCTGATGACGATGGACTCGATTCCTATGCAACTTTTTCTGATAATGATTAAAGACTCTTGAGTCTTCCACGCTATATTTCTCTCTCTTATTTTCTCCTCTTGTTTGTATGGATATGGATTATGGTCTATGGGCTGTGGATTATGTTATTATGTATTATGAGTTTGTGAACTATAATATATTTTTGGTTGTGCTAGTATTAGCAATTGAGTACTTTGGATTTTGGATAATGGGATTCAAATATTTGATGATTTGTTAATATGTTATTTGCACTTGGCATGATTCCACTTAAAAACGTATAAAAACCGCCTGAATATGCAATTTCTTATACAAAAGGTGCACCTAGCACATGATTCCTTGACACACGTATCCCCCTTTTGAACCTGGGCAACCTAGATCCCTGGGTGGCTGGGCGCCTCCTAGGTGCTGGACAGCCTAGACCCCCCTAGCCGGTTAAGTGCCTCCTGGCATATTCTGAAACACTGAATCCACCTTTCGGAACACTGGGGACATAAATAGCTTTCTGGAAGGAGAGTTGAGGGAAAATGGATATGGATTCAACACCAAAGATTAAAAGAGAATTTCTGGTAGTAGTATACACTTTTTGATCACCATTAGAATGAGCTATGTGCTCAATTTTCTGCGCATAGTTTATCATGTAGGTGTGGTAGCACCAGAATCAATGACCCAAAAGTTAGATGAACATACCTGAGGAGGCTCCCCTGGCGTCAATTACCTTCATACCTGTTTTGTCATTTTCGGAGAAAGTAGTTCAGGTGTACTTGATGAGGTGGTGTAGACAGAGACTTGACCCTGTTGTACTATTTGAGTAGGGCTCTCACCAACATTGGCATAAGCCTTTGGTTTCTTGGGAGGCCTCTTCTTACACAGGGGGGTAACATGGTCAACTTCATGAAGTATGGATTTTGGATTCTTTGGACATCGAGATGACATATGGTGTTGCTCTGTGCAGGTGTAGCACTGGAACTTATTGAACTCATGCTTTGTCCTTGCTAGAATTCAAAAGCGTTGCATCAGTTGTTTTTATTTATTTATTGGTGGTAGTGGTGGGGGGGTGGGTTTCATTATGTTTCCTTTCATCATACTTCTTTGGCAAACAATTCTGCTAGTGCACTATCAAATCCGGTATTGTCGGTCTATTCAGGATTTAAGATCTAGTGAACTGGAACTCATCTTGAAGTCCTATTATGAACTGGTGTAGACGGTGTCTGGCTCTAAAGGAGTTCATACTTTCCCAACCTGCTTTACGAACTGATGGTTCTATCAATCCTATCTCATTCCATAGAGTCCTTAGAGCAGAGTAATACTCTAGTGGTCCTGTGTGCTCCTATTCTCTCAATTCAAGTTCATAAATGCCTGCTTTGTTTGGGAGAGTTGAGGATGGTTAGTTTGCTGGTATATCTTCTTCAATTAATTTGACATCTCCTTGCATGTGGAAAAAGAGACTAAGTCAAGGGCAATTTGTCCTCAACGGATTGGAGAAACCAGATTTTAATTTTGGCATTCTTTGTTCTCCTTTCTGGGGTATCTTTTTCATCAGCAGGTCTAGGTGTGGACCCATCAACTAATCCAAACAAATCTTTGTCCTCCAGAAAGTTAGCCATGATGGATGACTAGAGGAAGCATTTTTTCCTATTGAGATGTTTCGATCCCAATAGCCTTTATTAAGCACCATTGGAGTTTAATGACAGTATTAAAATAAATGCCAGAGCTAGAAGAAGTAGAAAATTAGGAAATAAGTGTTGATCTGCTCACAAAATACTTACAGAAGCCAAATCTAGAAACTGATTTTCCCTGTAGAAATTGATTGAAGCTTAAACTTGATCAAAGTTGTCAAGCATCAATATGCAAAACTGTGTATTACGATGGAAACAATATACAGAGTTTTCTCAAAAAGGTAGACGCACTAATTTTCTATCAAATTTTTTAGAAATCACTTAGATCAAACAACGAGAGTGATGAGCTTACCTGAGATAGCAAAGGATCTTTGCAGCAGAGAGTTTGGGTATAAAAACCCTAATTTGATCACCAAGAGATACATTTGAAATTTTGCAGCAGAGATATAAGGTCCAGAAGCCCTGAGTCGTTCATCAAGAGAAACAATTGAAATTCAATAAACTTGCTCTGATAACATATTATATCAATAAAGGGCGATTTTAATCTCTTAGATATGCCTCGGAAACATCAAACAGGTGAATAATTAAGATCCCAAGGAGGTTTGATGAAAAGGTGCTGTGCAGCCAAGTAAGCACTTGGAAATGTATATAAAAAAGTGTAAAAGTACATGGCTAACCCTAATGAAATGTAAAATTAAAGTAATAATTTTATTTGCCCCTTTTGTACTTTTTTTACTAAATGACTACAAGAAGATAGTACATTAATTAATTACACCTCTTCACTTCCCCAATTATCTTCTCTTTACATCTCTATGTAAGCCATTGTTGCATTTTAGGGCTGGCATGTCCAAATCATGGATATACCTTGGAGCGTATGCGTGTGCTTATGAAGGTTTGATTGAGCAGCCTCAAACATGCACATTGAATAGTGCCTTCCACTCTCTATCTATTACATTGCCTTCTATTGTTTCCGTTCCGAGTTTCTTTTCTATTCTCTAATTCGTATCATGTAGACAATGTTTATAAAAAACTTGTGGAGAACAATGAAAAGAATGTCTTAATCATTAAGTGAGAAACCTCTCAAAGGAGTACACAACATCTGGTGATGTATTCAAGGGGAAAAAAGAAAGAGAGTACATGCCGTGTGTAAACGCAATGAATAAAAGGCTTTGAGGGCCACCAATTTCTATAGCTAAGTGTTCTCCTTTTCTTGTAGTGGTCTAGGATTTGAGAATGGAATAGCATTTTTACTCCATTTTTGTTTTGGGGACCAGCTCAATGTGGACCATAAGTCATTGTTCTCTTTGCTTCATTGATTTTTTCTGGAATATGTTAATTTATATTTATAGGGTCTATATAAATGGGGATATTAGATCAAATATCCGTCCTGATGGTTTATTGAATTATTGTTTGTGGATGTTGGATTCTTAAATGGACAACAGTGCACTGGTAATGTGATGACTCGGGAGCTTTTAATGTGTAGTTGGTATAAGCTAGAAACTTTGGCCTATTTTTGATGTTGCCAATATCTGTTTGTGATATTTATTTTGTGTAAAAAGGAAAAGGAAATTTGGGGTCCATGAATGCTAGGAATTAGTTAATTCCTATACATGAACTTTGTGTTAGGTAAGTATTGTTTCTCAATTAGAATTTTAGTTTTGTAATTTATTAATTATTATTGATTTCTTGCAGCTATATAATTTTGAGGATAAAGGTGGTCGACGCGTTGCCTTGAGGCCTGAGCTTACTCCCTCTTTGGCACGACTTGTGATACAAAAGGGGTATTCAACTGCGACGGTGCTAGTTTCTCACATTCTAATTTTAAGGCTCTTTGCTGAATGCTTTCCTTTATTTTCAAGTTATGATTATGATCATAAGCATGTTGAGGGAACTTATTCTTCGACTTCAATGTTGGGCATCAGTATCAGTTCGGACTTATAAAGATATATCTGATGTTTTCATTGTATGTGTCTAGGAAAGCTCTACCACTTCCGGTAAAATGGTTTACAATAGGACAATGCTGGCGGTACGAGCGGACAACTAGAGGAAGGCGACGTGAGCACTACCAATGGAATATGGACATCATTGGGGTTCAGGGAGTTGCAGTATGCTTCAACTGATTTTTGTATAGTTCCCTATTTTTTATTGCATAAAATTTAACATCTCTAATACTAACCATACTAGTTTCAATGAATCATATTATCTATTCCATTATTTAATTCATGCTCATTACATTGTAACTATTGTGGGCTATATTAAATGGCTACTGAATGGTATTTTCTACATTAAATGGTTTTTTTGATTGTTGTAGAGGATTACATGTATAATCTGTTATTTCTTTTGGTAAAACTTTTGTACAGTGGGTATTTTCCTTTCTTATCTATTATCATAATTGGAACTATGATGATTTGTTTGCAAATCTTTATGCAGTGAGGAAGTGTCTAAAATGAGTGATGCATATGAAGTGAAATAAAATTCAGAAATATCATCATCATTTTAGCCTTTTCCCAATTAATTGGGGTCAGCCACATGAATCCTGGTTCTCAAATCTGCTCTATTAAAGGCCATATCCTCAACGAGACCATAAGTCTCCATATTTTTTCAGACTACTTCCAACCACGTCCTTATGGGTCTATCCCTTTCCCTTTTCAGTCCTTCCACTTGAACTAATTCATACCTCCTAACAGGTGCTGTACTTGGTTGGCTCCACATATGGCCAACCCACCTAAGTCTCCTCTCTCTCATTTTATTACCTATTGGTGCCAGGCCTAAATTCTTTCGAATAGATTCATTGCGAATTCTATCCCTTCTTGTCTTACCACTCATCCATCTCAACATCCTCATCTCCGCTATACTCATTCTATGGGTATCTTGTTTTTTGTCCACACTACGTTCCGCCCCATAGAGCAAAGCTGGTCTCACCGCTGTGCTATAGAACTTGCCCTTCAACCTCATTGGTATGCGGCGATCACATAAAATTCCAATTGCACATCTCCACTTCGCCCACCCAGCTCTAATTTTGTATTTGACATCTTCCTTGATCTCTCCATATTCCTGGATTATCGATCCAAAATTTCGAAAGTACGGTCTTTTTTTTACTTCCTAACCGTCAATCTTAATTACTTCCTCGTCTTTATTCCTATTATTACTAACCGTCAATAAAGACCATGTGGAGGTCTTTTCTCTTCGTCCTAAACTTATCAATCAGTTGCGTAAGCAGGAAAATTGCTTCAGTTGTTGGTTTTCAGATACACTTGTTTCATGCCTTAGTCGTTGCTCAATGACTCTTTCCCAGAGCTTTATAGTACGACTCATAAGCTTGATCCCTTGATAGTTTGCACAATTCTGTATGTCTCCTTTGTTCTTGTAAATAAGTACCACAAGACCTTTTCTCCATTTGTCTGACATTTTCATTGTTTTCAACACCTTGTTGAACAACTTTGTCAGCCAGTCAATCTCAAATTTCCCCATGCACTTTCGAACCTCTATCGTGATACCATCTGATCCTAAAGCCTTTCCTATCTTCATCCTTTTCAAAGCTTCTCTCACTTTCGACATCTTAGTCCTACGAATATATCTATGACCTCCGCTGTCACTTGTACCAATAGACCCTTCTACCACTATGTTCCCATTTTGTTCGTTATGTTCCCATTTTGTTCGTCATTTAATAATTTTTGAAAAATTGACTCTCCACCTTTCGTTGACCTCATCATCTTTACTTATTATTTATTTAGCATTTTCTTAGCACTTTTATATTCTTCTAAGTTTTGATCGTTGTTATTACACTGCCAAGTTTTATAACATGATCGTTTTTCGCTAATGGCCTTCTGAACCTCATCATTCCACCACTAAGTTTCCTTATCGAGGTTTTTTTTTATTGTAGATTCTCCTAATACTCCTTTTGCCACTTTCTTGATACATTCAGCCATCTCATTCCATATTATATTGATATCATGTTCAAAGTTCCATTTTCGTTCTTCAACTAATTTATCCCTAAATAAGTCGATTTTCTCATTCTTTAAATTCCACCACCAAGTTCTTGGATGCCCATTACTTTCACCTTTTCTCCTCCATGTCTTTATGTAGATGTCCATGACCATGAGCCTATGTTAGGTAGTCAAACTCTCTTTGGGATAACCTTGCAGTCTTTACATGATGGTGATCTAACTTCTTAACTAGAAAGAGGTCTATTTGGCTTTTATGTGTTCCACTATTGCTGTATTATTTATCAAACTAAAAAAACTCAATGGCTTCCATGGAAGTTAAGTCCCCATTATTGCTACATTATTTATCGATTTAATTGCAATATATCGATGACTGTAATGATAATGTTGGGAACAGGCAGGATGGGAATTATCTTTCTTGACAAAAAAAATAAGAAACATATGCTGCTTCATTTACTGTTATCTTGAGTCAGTGTGTTATATTTGATTTCCGAGAGCAAAATGTGTTGATTTTCTTGTTTGTATTATTGTTTTTCTGCAGGCTGAAGCAGAACTGATTTTTTCGATTGTGATATTGTTCAAGAGATTGGGAATCACATCATCAGATGTGGGATTCAAGGTTTCTAGCCGTAAGGTCAACATTCTAAGAGGCTCTGACCTATGCTTTCAAATTGTGACAGGAAGAGGTTCTTGATGTTTCTCTCATGCTTGAAGTCACTCAAGTGCATGTTGGAGCCTTTCCATGTTTCCATGTTCTTTAGCTTTGATTTCTATCTAGCTTTCCCATATTTTCTTAGGTGGTCTAAGTGCTTCAAGGATTTGTAGGAAAGCTAGTTATGCCCTGTTGAAATGGCTGGCACGTCCTAAATGAACACATCCGCAGATTTTCAAAACCTGTCTTATGATAACCAAATGCTGGATGCATAAATAACTCCCACATTATTGGATTTCTATGTGTAGTTTCTTACCATTGAGTGGCATATCATAGTTATATGGTCCCTTTTTGCTGGTGACATTGCTTCGAAACTTTTGAATAGGAATTTGGAGAGAAGACATTAATTTCTAGCATTTGATCTGAAGCCATCAGCTAGGATGGCCCACAACTGATCTCTGCTGGTTGATGAATGACATGTATTATTTGTTAGAGTCTCTGTAGTTGAAGGATTAGGTTTGCTGCAAAGTGAACTGGCAATCTGTTTTTTTGTCCTGATTTGCTTTGTGCAAGTATAGAATGTTGGAGCAACCCCCTATAGTGCTGATGTTCCAGAGGTTTAAGGTTCACTATGCACATTTCTAGAGCCTGTTGTAAACAATCAGTCAACACCAGCATCCAGATTATAATGTTATGCACATTTTCTAGAGCCTATTGTAAACAATCAGTCAACACCAGCATCCAGATTATAATGTTATGCACATTTTCTAGAGCCTATTGAGGTACAGTAGAGAATGGGGTTTTGGGATCTGGGACAAACAGTAGAGATGTTCGGATTTTGGGGTTTGTGAGGAATTGTACTGATGTTAGGGTGAGGTGGTTGATGCCATTGATTCAGATGAGGATGAGAATGATAAGATGGCCTGGACTGCTGTTGGGCATAACACTTGGGGGCATGGGTGTGGCTAATGGGAAGAGCAAGGGGATGGGTAGTGGGGGGAAGTAGCACTTGAGTTTTGGTTGACCAATAGTTGCTATGGTCAAGTGGCCTCCTTGGAGTAGTGGTTTCCACAGAAGAGGAGCTAGACCTTTTGTTGGAGGACGTAGGGTATTCATCCCTGACATCCTGTTTAATGGTGTTGCATGATTATGCCATCTTGGATCTGCTGACGTTTTTGGTTAAGGTTATAAGATAGATGTGAACTTTAGTTTTTATAGACCATGCTTTGTGGAGATATTCAAGTTGCCTGTGTTGCTTCTTTTGTTTAGATAATTGAAGTATCTAATGAAATTCTGTATTCACAGGATTCTTTTTAGATATGCTTTTGAAATACATTCCTCAAACTTGTATAAATTTTTACTATTATCTTGCCAAGCACATATTTTGATTTTTGTTTTTCATACAATGCTAGGTAGGTAGGTTTATAGTTTGTAACACTTTCTTAGAACAAAATTCTCCTTAAAAAATTTCTGGCTGCATTTCCTGCCTTATTTGATTATTATGTTCTCCTATAGTAAGACCCACTTTTTGATGTGGTTCTCGTCTATGTTCCATTTTTGGTATTAAGGAGAATTTGCACATGAGGACTTTCAAGCCTTTAATTATTGATTGATTTGGGTGATAATTTTTGTGCTTGACTCAGGTTCTACAAGCAGTACTTCAACGATATAGTATACCTGAGAAATTATTTGGGAAAGTATGCATTATTATTGATAAGGTTAGTTTATTCAGAAGGTTGTTGCCCTCACCTGGCATGTCTCAATTTTAATGAATAGGAAACAATAAATATAACAGAAATTAGCTTTGGCCTTATCTTGTGAGTCATTTTGCTGGATATTAAGATAGATGGAAAAAAACAGCCTGCCTTCCACTTAAGCAGAAGGCCTGCCTGCCTATGGGTCGAGACTGCCCTGCCTAGGCCTAGGTGGGTCTTCTTGGGCGGCCACCCAGGTGGCAACTAGGCCTTGGTGCCTGCCTAGTTGGCCCTTTGCCTGGGGGTGGACGATGTCCTCCGGCAAGGGGCATTCAAGTTATTTTTGCCCCTCTTAAGGGGAAACAAGGATTGGGTGTATTCTAACCATCAAAAGTTTGTTCTAGGGTTTCTATTTCCAAAAATCATAAAAGATTGACGATTTTTCAATCTTTTTTTTTTTTTTTGATATTGAAAGAAATCTAGAAGTTTTAAAAATCATCTAATACCTTAAATTGTTTTTTGTTGGATTCATTTTGAACTATACAGAAATTTTTGGGTAATTTAGAACTTGATATGATTCCAAAACATTGAGGATCGAAGATGGGGCACAAATGATATGGGTGTGTGTTTGCATGTTGGTGTGTGCTCTAGGAGCGCACATATATGTATATATGTACATAAATATTACATGTATATGCATATTTTCTTTTGGAAACACATGTATTTATATATGTTTGGGAGAATCGGGTTCATCAAAACCTGGGCACCCGCCTAGCGCACCTAGGCACCTAGACCCCAGTGACCACTTGGGTGCTGCCCGATGTTTTTACAATCTTGGATACTAATGATGTAATTATAATTGTGGTAGATAAGGACCTTTTGAACTATGGTGTTCTCAAGCTCAGTGCTTTATTCGCTTGTGTTTTGTTTCCCCTGCAGATGTAGCAACCGAGAATCTCATGTTTGGGTGTGTGACATCATGATTCTTGTGCATCATCCAGATCTGTATTAGGAGAGATTAGTTACAAGCATGTTGTCATTGTGTTAGATGTGTTTTGATGAAGTAATTGCACCCCTTACATAATGCAACATTGTTACCATTGATAAGCATTCCTGTAAAACTCGTTTATGTTGAATAAAATCATGGCTTATCACCTCTTTATCAATTTGTTTATTTGACAACACTGTTGGCCTACCTAGCTATAGGTCCTCTATCACTGTGCATTGTTGCGTTAGAATTAGTTGAATATGATGCTGATGTAAACCTTTGAACTGTGTGAACATTCTCTTTTATGAATATTTTTACAGATGGACAAAATTCCTAAAGAGGAGATTGAGAAGGAATTGACAATGCTTGGGATACCGATGGAAGCTATAAATGGATTACTTCAAATCTTATCTCTAAAGTCTGTTCCTGAACTAGAAGGTTTGTCAGTATCACTCCTAGTTTTGTTTAATTAGCAATGTAACTTCATGGATTAATATGCCATCATTACAGTCATCTTTTTTTTCAATATATAAGAATTCAATATGCAAGATCGATAACATTCAAACAAAACAAGAAAGGTCGTAAAAAGTCTTAGGTTTGGTGCCATCATTACAGTCATCATTTATTCAATATACAAGATCGATAACATTCAAACAAAACAAGAAAGATTGTAAAAGTCTTAGGTCTGGTGCTATAATAGGAAACGACCTAGTAGTTTCCAATTGCTATTATTTGGTTTGTTGGCATTACAAGTTATATATTAGCCTCTCATGCAACGCTTGTATTATGATATGAAATCTGCTTGTGTTATTTATCGCAATAACCTAAAATGTAGTTAAGTTGTTATAGCATGTGTTATTTATTGATTATTCTCTACGGCCCGTAGTTAAGTTTGTTGGTGTATTTTTATCTGAACAATTCTCTATAGTGAACCTACATGTATGTAAGATACATCTACGTGAAAAGTTTTAGTATTATATATTGTATAAAAAGGACATTTCTTAGAATTTTATTAGTCATAAAATTACATTAGAATCAGTATGCTGTGCTTCTTCTATGAATAGCATTCTAGTGTTCTAACCATAGTTGTTGGGTACGGGAACGGGAACGGTTCCTGGATCGAGGGTGGGATTGGCAGATCGAAGCTATACTAAAGATTCCTGTGTTAGGGATCACTGCCCGTACAACCTCAAAGGTTGGGATCGAGGTCCATGTGTGTTGGGGATCGAGCTCCTTTATTACATGAGATAGAGAATTATTATATAAAGGTGCGAGATCCTATACGTAAGAAGCGAAGTTCCCAAGGGCATGAGTTTCTTAACTCAAGGAGCACATTACTAAAAGTGATCCAAAATATTATGGAGCGTCGAATAACTTTTATAGGAGCGAGCTCCATTTTCTTAGAACGCGAGTTCCTCGTGTAGGTAATAAGGATCCGTGGCTTTAAAATGTAGCTCCCGGTGTTGTTAACCAATAACATGTAGGCTTAGTCCTTCTATGAAATAAATAACGAACTTTAAAGCGATCATTGCTGGAATCTAGATGCCATGTATGGTGCTTATGTTCCATTATTTTCGAATCTTGATCCCAATGCACTCTGGAGTGCGAACCATAAGACTAGGAAACTGGATCCTATAATTTTCAGGAACGTGAAATTAAATTGTAAGGAACTTGTTCCCTTATAAGATGGAGCGAGATCCCGAAAACATTAAATTGAGTTTCAGACGCGATCCGCTCCAGGATCGAGAGAATCGAGGTTATGCAATGGATCACCAAGCAAGGGAGGAGATCCCGGTAACTATGGTTCTAACATGGTATTAGAGCCGTGCAGGAAACCTTAGGTGTCAAAATTCCTATTCGTCCATCTAAGAATTATTGTGTATCAGCTGGAAACTACATATGTGAAATCAGTATGCTGAGGAGATCAGCAGTCTCATAACTGACCTAAGAACTCCAATTCCGCCTGAAGCTTTGATCAATACTCTGAGAGAAGTGTTTCAATATCTACATTAACCTTACAAATTGAAGTTCTTTTGTGGAATCTGTTCACATATGCGGAATAGATCTATCTCAAAATAAACAGAGCAGTGTTTACAACCAATCAAGGCATATATAACTCAACACCCCTGTCTGTCTGAAACTTCAATTGGTATAGCCTCATAAAGATGTGTTCTGTCCTTTTGGGTCACTAACACATCTTGATGCCCAGGCTTGTCGCACCTAACACTTTGGCCTCTGTTCCTGAATTTGAAGAGTATCTTCACAGCTGGGCCTTTTCTTGCCTTTGATACATCTTGGGGCTGAGTGCTTTATCCCACCACATCTCACTGTTTCTAATTTGCAGCATGTCTTTTGAGAACTGAGGAAGACACTTTACCATAGGAGCAATTTGCAGAGCTCCTACTAAATTTCTTTCAACCTTTAGACTACCTTATAGTCTTCCTCAGACTCAAAACTCAATGCAAAATCAACTCAACGTAGATCTGAGTGTGTGTGCGCGTAGCTCTGAATCCACCAAAACAACTATGGTCTCCATGCCAAGCTCCAAGTTTTCATTTGTTCAAACCAGTAAATACAATGTATCAGAATATCATGACTATGACTTCAAACCCAATGGGAATGATCCCTTCCTATAGGCTAAATCCCTAACTCCGATGCCTTTAATACTACTTCTAATTAAAATAGGACTCCTAATTCAAATTTGACTCAAATTGATGCTTTTACCCTTAATCAAAGAGGACTCCATATTTTCAAATCACAAACAAACAACTTTTCCCCCAACAAAAGACTATTCTATCCCTAAAATGATATTGCAACCTCTGCAGGGTGTAATGTTTTGTTCCATTATCAAAAATGCTTTTGGAAGTGTCGGTTGAGTTCTATGACCTAAACCCACTTTGTCAGTATTCTACAACTGATGTGGCTAAAAAAATCCTTTAAATCCCTGAATGTGGCTCCTAAAATTTGTTTTCCCCCTCCATCTGGCAACTAGATGCAAAGTATAAAGATAAGAGAGATTTAATTTAGATACGTGCATACATGATTTGAAGTTTCTAACCGTGGGATGTCTGCCTGTGGTTGTTTTGCATGTGTTTTGTGTGTGTCTGTGCATGTAAATAACATGAAGTTTATGTTTTTGTTTATGTGTGTATGTGGATTTGCGAGTGAAAATGATTGATTGGGTCAACAATCTGTTTGTTGCCATAGCCATGAGGCCATAGAGGGCTTTATTTCACCCCAATTTTTTTTTCTTTTTTTTAAAGAAAGTGTTAATGTTGTTTGACCAAAAAAGTTGTGGATTTCCTTAATTCATCTCAGTGATGAATCTCAAAAAGATAAAGACAAAAGAGCTTGCACACTAAAAGTGGTCTAAATGAATCCCACTGTAGTGAATGTTCTCCTCAAATTTTTTTTTTTTGCCTTTTTTCCTTTTAACTAATTGTAATGTCAATCAAACATGTTTTGAAAATTTTCAGGGGGTAAAAATCCCCCTAGCTAGGTGTTTTGGCCGCTTGACCTATACTGTGGTTATAGGCCACTTGACCTATAATTTGGCTATGGGCCGCTTAGCGCTTGGTCTATCAAATCTTTCTCTACACACACACGTATAATATACATGTGTATATGAGTGTGTGTGTGCATGCGCACATGTGTGCTGATGTGCATATGCGTGCGTCACTCTGTATAATACACATAATGTTTTCTTCATCACTATTACACATACAATAGGGCACACCGTGTACTCTATCGAAAGGAATTAGAGATTTGGAATCGTTATCAGTCTCATTATCTAAAGAAAGCTGGAGTGTTTGTTTTAATGAAATTATTCTTGTGGTTGTGACATTTTGATTGAATTGCTGTATTAATTGTTGGTTTTATGCCATGGATGTCAACAAGCGAGGTATTTTCCTACTTAGGCAACTGATTGAGAAGTTTAGGGTGAAGAGAAAAGACTTCCACATGGTCTTTATTGATCTAGAGAAAGTTTATGATAGAGTACCTCAAGATTTGATTTGATGGGTTATGGAAAAGGAGTCTCCAGTCACTACATCAATTTGATGAGAGATATATACGAGGGAGCGCTAATTAGTGTATCAACAACTAGTAGAGAGATGAGTGAGTTTTCAATGGCAATAGGGTTATATAAGGGGTTAACATTGAGCCCATGCCTCTTTGTCTTAAATATGGATGACCTAACTAGGCACCCTACAAGATAAGGTACCATGGTGCATGGTGTTTGTAGTTGAGATAATTTTTATTGATGAGACCCGAAACAATGTCGAATACAAAGTTAGAACTTTGAAGGGATACTCTATAATCTAAAGGTTTTTAAATAAGCCGGACTAAGACAAAGTATATAGAATGCAATTTTAGTAATAATAAGAGTAGTGATGAGGAAGCAGTTAAGATTGACGGCTAAAGAATATCAAGAAGAGCGCATTTTTGATATCTTGTGTCGATAATTTAGGAAAATGGATAGATTGAGGAAGATGTTACACATTGAATTAGAGTTAGGTGGGCGAAGTGGAGATGTGCAATAGGAGTTTTATGTGATCGCATACCGATGAACATGAAGGGCAAGTTCTATAGGACAGCTGTGAGACTAACTTTGCACCAATAGGTGATAAGATGAGACAAATTAGACTTAGGTGGGTTGGCCATGTGTGGCGCAGACCCAATACAACACTTGTTAGGAGGTGCGAGCTAGTTCAAGTGGAAGACTCAAAAAGGGCAATGGGTGGGCCCAAATGGATATAGTTGGAAATAGTAAATAAAGATATGAGGACTTGTGGCGTCATTGAGGTATGACCCTTAATAAGTAGAATGTCGGACTAGGATTTGTGTAGCCGACCCCAATTAATTGGAAAAAGGCTTTGATAATGATGATGATGATAATGATGATGCTCTATCAATTGTGATGGAAAGTTTGTATTTTATAGTGAAGGAGATTATGTATGGAAATTTGATGAAGCGGTAAAATCAGTAAGAAAACATGTCAAACACAAGCAATAACTAGGAGAAACCTGGGGTTTCTTCCTCAACTCAAGCTAGGGTTCCAAAACTTTTATCTTTCAGTTTCTAAAAGTCATGTGGAATTGGCCCTCTCAAGGCCCAACACACCATGTATATATTATAATTTAATATTCAAAGATATTAAATGTCCACACAATTATTAAATGACCTAAAAAACCTAACTTATCAAATTTGACTGTCCTTGAAAATTGAGTAGGATACTTGAAACCCAATTTTTTGGCATTTAGAGGCTTCTCGACATCTATTTTATTATTATATGAAACCAGAGCCGCAATTTGCAGATGATGTAGGGAAATTTGAAAAGGCAATATAATCAGTACAAAAACCAAACACAAGTAATAACTAGGAAAAACCTAGGGTTTCCTCCTTACCCAAAGCTAGGGTTCCAGTACCCTAAGCCTTTCTTTCTTGTTTAATTTCTAAAAATCAGTGGAACGACCCCTCAAGGTTCCACACACCTATTATATATTGTAATTTTAAAGTTCAAAGTTATTAAATGTCCATACAATAATTAAATGACCCAAAAAACCTAACTTAAACACAAAATTCACAATAACAAATTTACCTCGGTGAATAGTAACCCACGAACAATACCCCGTGGATACTACCTATGAATTATGAACAATAGCCTTGAATAGTAAATAAAAATATAAAAGAGCCCTATAATCCTTAAAAAAAAACTTAAAAGCCCTAAAAATAAACCCTAAAATTGAAATTAAAATATCGATTCTTTGAAATTGAATAAAATTAAAAATAAGAAATTACTTTGTCTTGCATTAGGGGACCAGTGTTGCATGGACTTCGACACAGGTGCCCGTGTCCAGTATGTGTCGTGGTGTCTAATACATGGGCCAAAAATCCTAGTATCTCCTTGAGATGTCTGCACATGTCTTAATGATAAATTATTTATTTTGTATATAATAAAAGTTTGAAAATAAAAAATAAAAAAATTTTTTTTATAGTACTTTTAATTTTTGAAACTGCAGTCATAACTATTGTGTAGTGTAGGTGGTAGAACTATAAGGTTTTGTAGGAAGAATTGGCTTCCCAAACAATATCCTTGGTTTGATTTTTGAGGGGCTACAAAAATTGTTTTACATTATTCAATTTGTCCCATTTGAGGTATATATATTGAATGTTGCTTATCATTTTTTTTTTTTTTTTGATAAAGTAAACTGTTATCATATTGTTCAACCTACAAATACCACTTGGTAGATTGAGCCTTATCTTGGCATTAGTCTTGTGTTCAAATCCCAGCAAGGCAAAACACGGTTTTCCCCTAAGCTTTTTTAATAATGTAATTAAAGGGACAAGGCATGTCCATAAAAGCGACACTTCCTTGAGAGGTGTCGACATGTTCGAAGGGAACATAATATAGTGCAATATGTGGGGATGGAGAGTTGGTGGAATGTTGCCCGTTGTTGACATGCGTCGACATGCGACAACAAAAAAAGTTGAAATGCTTGCTTGTGTCGCACTATACAATGGGGGAGAATATTTACTTCATTGCTATACACACATACACACACATGCACACACAATAGGGCACATTTTGCACTCATCTGCGGAAAGGAATTAGAAAATTGTTATTGTTAAATTGTTATCAGTCTCATTACCTGAAGAATGCCAGAGCGTTTGTTTTAATGAAATTGTTTTTGTGGTTGTGATATTTTGATTGATTGCCCGATCAATTGTGATGTAAAGTTTGTACTTATTAGCTATAGGAGCCAATTGGATTCTGATCCCTGCTAGCTACTTCCTTCCAAAAATGTGTTTCTTTGAAGATGTATAGGTCTGTGCCATTTCAACCGACATGAAATTGTTTTGGCCAATGTACCAACAGTCCAAAACTACTAAGAGTTGTCAAGAATAAGACTAAAACTGGACATTACAAGCTTTATGAAATTTATGTAGTTTTTGCATCTTTATACGATATCTTCATGCAGCTCTGATGTTTGTTACATTCAAACTGCTGACAGACTTGGATGGCTTTAGTATTATTGTTTTATTTTCCTTTAATCAGAGACATACAAAAGAACCAACAATTTTAACCTAGGAGAAAAGTTTCACCAATGGGCTGTAAGGTAGATAATGTGGCTACTGACTATAGGGTTTGAAATTGTAATAATAAATCTTTGGAAATTATGAACCAATATTACAAATCTAAAGCCAGTGTATGAAAACATTCTTAGAAGCAAAATTTGTGTATTTGTATGAAATTTTCTTGATAACTTTCCATTGGCAATGTAGAAGCACTCGGATCAGATGCTGATGCTGTTGATGATCTGAAAGATCTCTTCTTGCTCATTGAACAGTATGGTTGTTCCAATTGGATTCAATTTGATGCTTCTATTGTCCGTGGCCTTGCCTATTATACTGGGGTCGTCTTTGAGGTATTGTTATGTTGACACTTAGACTCAGATCTCTATTTATTTGGCATACCTCCAATGTATAAGGGTTTTTCACTTGAATGATCGTGTTTAAAGCACTAACAGCTTGGCTGCCTTTTGTCTTTTGGTGCTACTTTCTATTTCTCTCTCTGTTCCATGTTTTCCTTGAGAGATTATAGTACACTTTATAGAAGATCGGTGTGATAAAGGAGATAGCTATTTGAATTCCATGAAACCATGTCATATTCCAAAATAATCAATAAATCCACTGTTTAGCTCACACTTGAATAGCTCAATTTGTTGCATTTCCACGTGAGAATTTGACGCCTTTGTTTTCAACATTGCTATGTTTGTTGTCTTGAGTACTTGCTTCTGTTTAGCTTTTATGGACAGAAAACATCAACTTGCTGATCACTACTTATATGTTAAAGAATGTTTCCTTGCAGTTATTATTATTAGTATTATTATTATTTTGAGAAAGGTTTAACTTATCTGCTATTTATTTCCATTTAGAAACTTGACTCTTCTTCGGAACACCTTTTTAAATACAATATTTTAACTCCTCTTCTCATTTTGTTGGTTTTCTCTGTCTGGTTCTTTTGCATTTGCCTTTATTCCTTTTCCTGTTCACATTCTTTTCATTGCTGCTGTTTTGGGTTTTCCCGTTATGCATCACAAATTTTGATTCAGCAGACCTTATTGGCATTCATCTCTCCCCTTTGTTTCTTTTGCCACTTTGTTTCTTGGGGATACTAACATTAACCTCATCATCATAACTATTAATGTTACACGTTTGATATTCCAAATCATTATTCGTTGAGCTTATGCCTACATTTTCACTGGACAAGAACCAGCAGAACCAGCAGAACCAGCAGCTTGTTGGCATTCCTTAGTTGTGGATGACCATATCTCTTTCATTTATCCCAAAAGAAGAGTCATATCATTCAAGAGGCAATTAGCAATTTAGCACTATAAATGTGAATGTCATTTTTCTCTCTTTTGTTTGTAGGGCTTTGATAGAGGAGGGAAGTTAAGAGCAATTTGTGGTGGTGGTAGATATGACCAGTTACTCTCAAAACTTGGTGGTGAAGACCTTCCAGCTTGTGGCTTTGGCTTTGGAGATGCTGTGATATTTGAAGTAAGAATTAAACCTTCATAGATTTATCTCTTGTCATAAAGAAATGGAAACGGAAAACCATCCATCGTCAAGTAGCAAAAAATGATCATGTCATCCAACGTTTCAAGACAAAAGCTGTGTGTTTTCAAATTTAACCTATGAAAGTGATGAATATTTAGAATAAACTCAAATGGCCGAAGTTCTTTGAGGCCTAGAGCATTAAATTTTTTTATGAGGCTTAGATATCTCTCTATAGGAAAGTTGAGATAACTTTGACATGAAAATGACAGTCTAATATCACTAACGGACCCCAACCTAAGGGATATAGGAAGGTAGTGGGCACAGGGTGGAAAATCAATGGTTAAAAGGTCATCAAGTAACTGTGTATTGGCTGTGATATTGGGTTTCAGTTTTCAGTCATAAAAAATGTTAGAAAACATAAATGGCTGTTATTTTCAAAATGTTGTAAATAATGACTGTTATTTTTATAATTCCTCAAAAAAAAAATTATCGTTATTTTTATAAAAACTTTCCTTTAAAAAATATCATAATGTTTTAAAAAAATGTTCCCCATATGATCTCCTTTTTCTGAATATTCTCCCTTTTTTCTTTTCTTCTTTTTTATCTGTTTGAACTTTTTGCCCTTTGTACTCCAGTTTCTGTTTTTTGGTTAAACATATAACTTCCCAATATAATGGCTTTTACTTAACAATATGGAGACGGGCAAGTCTTGTTTTTATCTGTTTATGTCCATTTTTTGAACCTTGGTCTTGGCAGAGATGATCTTGAATGTTTAGTGACATATCTATGCAAGCATCGGGGTAATTCCTATCTATGCTCACTAGCCCCATGGTCGACTTTCAGAGTTCATCCTTGTACTTGATATTCACCTTAATGATGCATACTTCACCTGGTCGAACCATTAAATCAACCCCTCTTTCCTGACTCGCCCGGTTCCTTACTTCTATCGAATAGGATGATTTCCTGAAACCCATTCCTTCGCTCTACTAAAGCCCATACCGACGACAAGCTCTCCTCCTAAATGCTTTCCCAAGTGCCATGGCAAGAGGCCCTTTAGATTTGAAGTCTGTCGTTCGAAGAACCTGAACTCCATTAACTGGGAGCACAATGGTGGAACTCTTTCTTAGTCCAAGGCTGAGCTGGTTTCATATTCCAAAAGAAATTTCATCCACTAAAGCGCTTCCGCAAACAGTGGGTCAAACATCTTCCAGGCAACTTCGAAACCATCAGAAACATGATCCTGCGAAGGATTGAAGAGTTCGACTCTAATGTAGATCCAAATCTAAGGTGGACTGCGAATCAAGGTTTCCACAAATGCTAGTTGGCTGGCCTGGTGCCTAGTGCCCAGTACCTAGCGCCTAATGCCCAGCTCCTAGGTGGGCGCCCTGTTTTACTTTTAGAGTGAAAAATGCGCCTTTGGCACCACATACCCTCTATTCTCTGTTCTCATTTACTATGGGCTGTTGCACAAAAATAAAATGGAATTCCTATGATTATGAAAACATCAACCAATTTTTTGAGTTATCAGGATAAATAAAACATCATATTGCATCTCTTAAGCCAGGTTCAGAAATTGGCAATAGGGGAACAACTTGAAGTGGTTGTTTGTGTTTCACAGGGTATGAATTGGCATTAGGCAAAAAAATAAGAAAGTAAGAAAAATAAAAGAAAAAGGAGAAGTTTGAGAAAATGTCTGAAAAAATAGAAAAATATGCAACAAGCAAAATCTTCTGAAAGGATGTTTTTTTGGCTTTATTGAAAAATGATAATTTTTTCACAATAATGACCTGTGAAAAATAATAGTTTCTTCAAGAAAGGGCACATGTCCTGGGCGCTGCCTAGGGGAGCACCCAGGTACTGGCCCAATGAGGGCCGCCCACGCTTGGGCATGTGCCTTGGGGTCCCCTTGGCGCCTAGGCACTGGGCAGACCGTTTTTGACACAATGCTATGAATTAGCTCTGAAGAAGGATAATGATATTTTGGTACCAAAGTTCTAGAAAAAAAGGGATGAAATTTGGAGACCGTAACATTGAATTCTTTCACGATTGTCAACTTTAGGCACAAGATCTCCATTTTCCATATTTGGGTGGGCCACATTTTTCAATAAACCTCTAGAAGTGGAGGTAGCCATAGTCTTCTTCAAAAATCTTTTTGCTGCCCATAGAGCCCCGAAACCTTTTATGGATGCCCTATCTTTTGAAGTTGCCCTCGGATAAGGCTGCCTGGGTGGAATGCCCTTTCTTATAGCAGGAAATAGTGAAATACTTATAGCAGCCAAAGAAACTTGGCAGATATAAAGTCCCGGATCCTGATGGGTTCTAGTAGCCTTCTATGAATTTTTTAACTCTTGCACCCTTTTATCTTAGCCTTATTCCTAGAATTCCATGAGAGGATAGGATCCATAAGACCATGAATGCCACCTTCTTTTCGTTAATTCCCAAGTTAGAGGGGGCTGAAGATATTAAAGAATTTAGACCAATTAGCCTCCTTAATAGCTCCTATAAAGTCATAGCCAAAGTCCTAGTCTCTGGTCTCAATGCAGTTCTGAACTAGGTCATCTCCTCGATCCAAGGTGCTATCGTGAAGGAGGACTGAGAGAATCAAATATTTTCACTTATCGACTGTGGTCAGAAGGAGGACTGATATAATTATCTCCTTGAAAGATCATAATAGGAATCTCTTGTCTACTGAGGCTGATATTGAAAATCATATGATTGGCTACTTCAAAGACTTGTTGGCTCAGGAGAGCAATATCGACCTTCACATGGTTGATCAGGTCTTGCTGCCATTTCATCTCAATTCTTCTCAGAAGGACAAACTAGTGGACGCAGTAACTATGGAGGAGATTAAAGCATGCATTTGGGATATGAAAAATGAAAGTTCTCCAGGACCAGATGACTTTTCAATGGAATTCTACAAGTTTGGATGGGAAGTCATTAAAAAGGATCTTTTTCTGACCCTTAAAGATTTTTTCACTAGGGGTAAGCTACTCAAGCAAATCAATTCCACCTTTATTTGTCTGATTCCTAAAGTGGATGCACCTAGGGTGATGAAAGATTTTCGACCTATAGGGTTGCATAATGTCTTATACAAAATCATCGGCAAAATAATTTCTAATCGCCTACGAGTTGTTCTTGTTGATTTTATCGACCCTAGACAGGCTGCATTTTTGAAAGGTAGGCTTATTACTGACAATATTCTCATGGCAAACGAACTCATGTCTATTTGCCATAGGAACTCAATTCGGCCTAAAATGTGTCTGCAAATCGATTTGAGCAGTGCATATGACAGAGTGTTCTGGGATTTTATAGTGGGTAGGATGCATGCTTTGGGTTTTCCTGAGTTATTTGTTTCTTGGGTTCACTTGTGTATTTCCACTACTTCTTTCTCTGTTCTGAGGAATGATTCACCTAAAGGTTTTTCTAAAGGTTAGAGAGGTTTGAGGCAAGGGGATCCTCTATCTCCTTATCCTTTTTTGGTGGTCATGGATTTTCTTAGTAGATAGCTTGATTGTGCTATGTTGCAAGGCATGGTTCCTTGGGCGTTTCCTTCAGGGTGTGACTATGGGGTCTCTCATCTTTTTTATGCTGATGATGTGCTAATTTTCTGTGAGGCATCCATCTCTTCTGTCACAGCTATGCGTAAACTTATATATAAGTTTGAGAGGAGTACTGGTCACATTCTTAACTCATCTAAAAGCAAGGTCTTTTCTTTGGCGCACCACAGGCAGGACGGAGGAGAATTCTAAGGGAGTGAAAATTTGCTGAAGGGTTTCTTCCTGCGCGCTATTTGGGCTTAGCATTATTTCGTGGACATCTAAGGCACAGTTATTGTCATAGTCTGGTGGGTAAGGTGTTCGGTAAGATTGGGTCTTGGCAGCCTTTGTGCCTCTCATATGCCGGTCGACTTCAGTTGCTTAAGTCTGTACTGGGGGCTCCATCGGTTTTTTGGTTGTTATCCTTCATTCTCTCGAAGAAAACATGTAATATGATAGAGAGATTGTAGAGAACTTCTTATGGGCCGGTGAAGCAGAAAAAAAAGGTGTCCACCTTATAAAATGGAAAACAGTGTGCCTCCCTATGATTGAAGGAGGTCTTGGGGTAAGGGATATGTTGGATTTCAATATCGCAGGAGTGATGAAGTTAGCATGGAGGATTTTGGAAAATCCCTCCTCGTTGTTGGCACGATTCTTCAAACATCGATAGTTTAGAAATTCCTCTATTTGGGAGGCTGAAGGCAGAAGAAGATGTTCTCATGCATGGAAGGGGATTTTACTTGGATTATTTCATTTGAGAGGCAATGTTCAGTGGAATATTGGTAATGGTCAGATGGTGGATTTCATGAAGGACCATGGTTAGCAGGTCAATCACTTTCAGATTTCCACGATGATAACATTCAGGAATATTTGGGGACTGCTGCAGGGAGGAGGGTTTCAGACTTATCAGAGGAGTACCTCAAGCTTGGGTTCTGCCACATCCCACATCGGTTTTTTTGAGGAATATATGAAGAGAGGTTGAGACTTATACTCTCCCTATGCAGCCCATGAAGGATTCACTAGTCTGGATTCATTCTGCTAATAGATCATTCTCTATTAAAAGGGCATGGGATTTTATTAGGCATCAAGGTTCATCACATCCTATTTTCCGTGCACTTTGGTCCTCCAAATGCCACCCAAGGACGAAATGGTTCTCATGGCTGGCTTTGCATAACCGATTGCCCACTTCATTCTTATTACAGCAGCGAGGCATGCAACTGGACTCTTTATGTCCCTTTTGTAGTAACCATGATGACAATCTTTTCATCTGTTATTCCAATGTGCCTTTGCGCATGGTGTATGGAGATCACTCGCTTGGAGATGTGGAAAAAGGTTTGTCCTCGGTACCTCTATCCCTGATTTACTTAGGTGGTGGTTCCTTTTCAGGTTTAAATCACATGGACTTCGCAATATTTGGTCTTCCCTTTTTTTTACTTCTATTTGGCCTCTTTGGGAAGAGCGCAA